ATGGTGAGAAAGCCAAAAATTAACATACCACCTTCTTTAGCCACCGCTTTCTGCCAAGTGTAGTTTCACTCCCTCTCCCATCCAGCCCTCAGGGTATGGGCGATTCCAGCCGGCACACATCAGCTCCTGCTTGCCCTTCTGCTCCTCACGGAGGGCTCCTGTCCTCATCCCGCAGGTCCTGCCGCGAGCGAGAGCTGCACCGAGGGCCGCCCCCCTGACGGGACAACGGGCTGCCCTCCTCAGGGCCGCTCCCCTGACGGGACAACGGGCTGCCTTCCTCAGGGCCGCCCTCGTGACGGGACAACGGGCTGCCCCCCTGACGGGACAGCGGGCTGCCCTCCTCAGGGCCGCTCCCCTGACGGGACAACGGGCTGCCTTCCTCAGGGCCGCTCCACTGACGGGACAACGGGCTGCCCTCCTCAGGGCCGCTCCCCTGACGGGACAACGGGCTGCCCTCCTCAGGGCCGCTCCCCTGACGGGACAACGGGCTGCCCTCCTCAGGGCCGCTCCCCTGACGGGACAACGGGCTGCCTTCCTCAGGGCCGCTCCCCTGACGGGACAACGGGCTGCCTTCCTCAGGGCCGCCCTCGTGACGGGACAACGGGCTGCCCCCCTGACGGGACAGCGGGCTGCCCTCCTCAGGGCCGCTCCCCTGACGGGACAGCGGGCTGCCTTCCTCAGGGCCGCTCCACTGACGGGACAGCGGGCTGCCTTCCTCAGGGCCGCCCTCGTGACGGGACAACGGGCTGCCTTCTTCAGGGCCGCCCTCGTGACGGGACAACGGGCTGCCCTCCTCAGGGCCGCTCCCCTGACGGGACAACGGGCTGCCCTCCTCAGGGCCGCTCCCCTGACGGGACAGCGGGCTGCTTTCCTCAGGGCCGCCCTCGTGACGGGACAACGGGCTGCCCTCCTCAGGGCCGCTCCCCTGACGGGACAACGGGCTGCCCTCCTCAGGGCCGCTCCCCTGACGGGACAACGGGCTGCCCTCCTCAGGGCCGCTCCCCTGACGGGACAACGGGCTGCCCTCCTCAGGGCTGCCTTCCTGGCGGAGCACGGGCTGGCCCGAGGAGGCCTCTCCTCAGGCCGCAGTTCCCGCCCGGAAAGAGTGAACTGCTCCCAGCCTTAGCTGAGAAAGGATTGTAGTGGTGTTCAGTTTCAAACGCACCTGCCGATAACAGGATTTTAGTGGTGGCCAGTTTCAAATGCACTTGCTGATAACAAGGACGTTTTAGCTCCTCCCATTAAACAGGATAGTTGCCTCAGAAGAAAAAATGAGGCAGCTACAAAGGTGCCATACAAAAAGAGAAGGGAAAAGACCCTGTGGAAATTATTTCCTGCCCAGGAGAACAGACTAAATTCCCTACAGAACAGAGGTAAGATGTGCATACTTGCAGGGAGGGAAAGAGGCTCTAGGTGTGGAAGGAGAGGACCTCTACAGTGAACGTGTGGGCTGCAAGAGGCCAAAGCTCTCTCTCTGGCCATGGTGGTGGCAGTAGAAGTACATAATGGACTGAGAGGGATTAAAACTCCGTGTGTGCCATGTAGTATAAAATATAAATAGGGTTTGAGGTTATTCATGTGGTTTGAATGTTTGGGATAGACGGTACTGTAGAGCTCGGTTGTTTGGGGTTTTTATTAAGTTCTCATTTCAGTTGCTTAAAATTTTCTGGGAACTTTCAAGGTAAACTGTCAGTAGAACCAATACTTAGTATAGGAGAAATCAACAATTACAAGTGACTGACAAAGTTTTAACAGAACTGGTTGGTCTTGTTAATACCACATTCAATTTAAATCTGTCTTTTAAGTGTTAGCAGATGATTTTTAAAGTGTGAGTCCTCATGCCTTTCATTTGGGTTTGTGCGTTGCTGGGCAGTGTAGAAGGAAGCTGGTGACCTCCACCAAGTGGGAGGTTTGCCCTCATTTCTCCATGTTTGTCTCTGAGTAAAAGTGAGTTTGCTGTCTGCTGTAGGTTTTGTTGATTGCAGAAAAATATCACTACATAAAATCATTAAGGCTGGGGAAGACCTCCATGATCATCAAGTTTTACCTTTGACCTCATACCACAATTGCCTGGAGTCTAGAAACTTTCTTGTCAAAATTTGATGAAAAGTGGTGTCACAGTGTTACCCAGGCTGAAGAATCACACTGCTTTTAATACACGGAAGCTTGTATGTTATGTTCCTAAGTTACTTGTGGAGTTAGACTAGTGTTTTTTCCCTTAATATTTAAAGGAATACTTTTTCCCCTCACTGAATATTGTCTCCTTCTTTCACCTTCCCAAGCAGTTATATTCACTTAACGTTGTTACAGCCAACATAGTTTTTACTGCTTTTGTATCAAAGCAGCATGCACATAGGAAAGTCTGGTTGGTATCCGCAGCTGTGTGGTAAAAGCAGCAGAGAACCAGCTCAGGAAGGGTAGCAGTCCAAGGTCTTGACCAGCAGTGCTTATGTAAGTGGTATAGCCTCTTGTCATGTTGGTATTCTCCATCTCCAAATGACTTGTACTTTGATTTGAAAAAAAATTAATAACTTTTAAGATTTAAGATTTTTAACTAGGCATATACCATAAAATAGGTCTAAATATTATTTGCAGATATTAACTAATAACCTTAATGTTTTTTAATAAATCAATTAATAAACAGAAGAATTCTGAAACAAGAAATGGGAGAAGCTTGATCCCAGGTGTTGGCTGAGCAGCTCATATATTGTGACTTAGTACTAAATTTTTTATCGTGTTTCTGAAGACATGGAACAAAATTTTGTTTTGAAGGAGTAATATTAACATTAAATTAGTAAGAAAAAGCTGTGTAAGTAAATGTCAGGTAGTAAACTGAGTATACACCCCTATTTTAATATGTTAGCATTTTCTAAAAGGTGATTACTGGGTAACTCTGAAATTAAAATTTCTGTCTCTGGTGCCTATTAGCTTTGCTCAAATTCAGTTAACAGTAGGACTGAAATTGTGAGGACGTTTTCTTTTTTTTCCTCTTTATGCTCCATTTTTTCCTCTTTATGCTCCATTGAGACCATTTGTATCTGTAACTGAAGTCAAGAATGAAGTAAAGTAGGTGGGCTTTACAGAAGGTAAATCAGTGTGATTGAAACATGTCATCATACCAATTAGGTCTAAATCCTGTTTCTACCAGAAGGCCTCCAGTACCTTCTTCAGATTTGATGCTTTTTCTAATTTGTCAGAGAACTGTTTAATAGGCAAATGTCTGTTAACAGTAACTGAAACTGCAAAGCTGGAATTAAAGAAGGTAATAATGGTGTAAAGGAAAGGCCTGTAGAACTGCAGTTATGTTTTGCTCCTTTATTTCTCTACATTACTTAAACCAATGTTTAATAGCACTGTATCTTATTTTTTACAACAAAATATTTTCATGTTCATTTCCTGCTTCTAACTGAAAGCTTCATACAACAGTCACTACATGTCAGCACCTAAATCTTCATAATATTGTCATTCTGTAGTGAGTTTTGTTTTGTTTCAGACCATGGTTAGAGATCTTGCTCTGTATTCAATGTTGTCTTATTTTTCGTGTCGGTGCAAAATGTTTTCAAGGGGGGATAAACATTTACAGTGTATTGGTAGCAAGGCCATAGCTCTACATGAAACAAAGTTAACCTAGCTGTTCATCCATTAATTAAAGAATACAAAAGTTTTATTTTTCTCATTCTTGGTTTCTGTTTGCACATGACAATATATGCTTAATGGAATGGTCAAAGTCAGATGTATTAAAAAAAACCCAAAATGAGCTTTTTACTTAGTGGTAGATGTGTATTTGTTTCTTTAAGCTTGTTTATCCTGGTGATAAACTGATCTACTTTACCATTTGGGTATATATTATAGACCTTTAAAAATATGGAAAATTCTAAAAAAATTGTTAGGGTCAAAAATTCAGATCTTCATTAAGTTCCTTGAAGAACGGGAAAAATAAAAGCAATAAAAATTCCCACCAATATAATTTAATGTAAGTAAATTCTTGAGCATGTTATTTTTATATAAAGATATATTTTAATCATAGATGTCATTCTGTTCCTCAGTTAAATATTATGACTGAGGACAAAATCACTGTATTGCAATGATTAGAACATCACTTCTCAATCTTCTTTATAAAAACTCCCACCCAAAACATAAAAAACCCCACCGCAACAACAATAACCAAAACAACAAAACAAAAAAAAAGACCAAAAAAAAAAACCCAAACAAACAAACAAAAAAAAAACAAACCAAACCACACCAAACCAAAACAACAAAAAAAAAAAAATCCCACACAACAAAAAAAACGAACCCAAACCAAACAAAAAACCCTACCCCCAAACTCCAGAGATCTATATCCTCAGCTGGTGTAAAACACCACAGCAGTCTGACATAGGATAGGTGTGGCCACAGGAGTTCCAAATTACTCCAGCAGAGCAGGTTCAGACAAGTGCATTTCAGTCCACCCAGCATATTTCAAATGCTGTGCTGGTTATGTGGATCAACTTTTGATGACATTTTTCATAACAAGAACAGCAGAAACAGGAATTTTGAAAATAAAGATACAGTATTCAAATAGATGATAAAAATCTTAACACTACTTGGTAGATGTGTTAAATAAAAACTGTCTGTAGTTTAATAATAAATTAAAAATAACCTTTGGGTTTGAGTCTGAAGTATTTAGAGAGATATAATTCAGCATCTGGCTCTGTAGAGTTACTGGAGTGCATTTCAAAGTACTGCAGTGATATGAAACTAAACCTTTAACATAAATTATATGGTGATTTGTGTAAAATTATAAATTGATAATAAGTAACTATGTTGGATCATAGTCAGTGAAGTGTTGGTAGACCAGGTAAATTGTGTTTTTCCCTCATTTTCTGTGGAAGCAATTTAGCATATGCAGGGCATAATTTCATGCTGATGCCTGTTAATGGACAACTAATAAGTCAGGTCACAGAACTACTTAGAAACATGAAGAAAATGAGGCTGTAGTTCAATAAAAAATGATAAAGTGCTTTAAATGATCATTTGTTGTTTACTGCATTGTTTCTCATGTCACAGTAGACATCAAAACCAACCCAATGAGATACAATAGTGCTCTGGAATAAGTAAAACTGAGTCTGTTACTTACTGTAGTCAGTATTTCCAGGTCTTGATGTTAAACTTAGTTTACTGTGGGATCAGAAGAGAAGCTTATAGTACAGGCTGAACTTGCACAGACATAAAGATCACCATAAATAATCTCTTATCTTGATATTTTCATTTGCAACAATGTGTATGTAAGAAGAAGGAAGAAAAAGAGCAAGCTGGAAACAGTTCAGATCCAGTGTGTGGGGCCAGTGGGCCTGAAATACACTGTTCAGTTTTGTAAGTCAGAAGAGTGTTGCTGGAAATGTATAGAAATCTGAGGATTTATTCCAAGTTCATTGAGTGAAAGCTGCTATAATATGGATGCTTCTTCCATGGCTTCAATCCACCTAAAAAGTAGAGGAAAGAAAAATGGTACATACAATTTTTTTTTTTTTTTTTTGCATTTTAAGAAAAATAAGTACTTTAAGAACATAAAGCATTGAAGAAGACTGTATTTTCCATTCCAGCTCTAATGAGGAACAATAGTTCTGTGATTAAAGTGGGGAGCTGAGTACTGGGACTCTTGCTTTCTAGTACAATCTTGACCAGTCATTTATTGTAAAATCTCAAAGTCAGTGCTGTCTTAGAATAGAAAAGATGAATCTGGCAAAGTATGATTTAAAGCAACAAAACCTCCTATAAATACTAATTTCTTTTTCTGTGTGTCTTGGGGTGCTGGGTTTTTATTACAAATCTTGTGACTATCTTATTATGTGAAAGCAGTAATATTAGAGTGGGAAATCCAAACAATTATTTGTGGATGAGAAAACTAAGAAATGGGTAAATTTAACATATAAATTGGAAGTTTTTCTACAGTAATCACTTTTGACAGACAGACTCTTGAGGCTCAGTCTCTTCTTTACCTACAAAAGGGAGCAAATTCTCCTTCCTGAAGGAACTGAAAAGCATTAGGTAGGTTTTTAATGTCAGTCAGGCCAGTCACATGCAATCTGGCTTAATCAAAATTCTGAAAGCTGTTTGTTTCATCTGTTACAAAGGCGTTCTGAAGTGAAGGAGGGAAAAATCCCCACATAAGCTCACTGGCTAATGTGGAAGTCTATCCCCATACCTATGTGCTGAATTGTTATCCTCTGCTCGGAAGCTGTAAAAGAGGGTCTGCTTGTGGTAGAGATGAAAAACTGTATCCATGCTTCCTTCCTCCTTTTCTGGGGCAATGGTGAAACCCAACAAAGGCAAACTTTCTGTAGCAACTTTGTCCTGAAAGTGAAGAAGCGAATTGTAACAGTTTGAGGGCTCTTTCTGAAAAGCAAATGATACAACCCCTCTGTGACAGTTCTGCAAAAGCAGTAGTGTGGATGTTCTGCTGGACACATGGCTTTTAACCCAAACAGGAGCAGTGCCTGTGTACTGCACATGTTTTATCTACTCTGAGTCTTGAACACCAGCTCTCAAAGTCCACTTCTTCATGATCATCCACATGGCCATGAAGGTCAAATTAGCCATTCCTTTAATGGCTGCCTTTGACATTATGGTCCAGGAGGCAAACTTGAGATTACTAAGAGTACAGCAGCAGTTCTGAAAGCCTGAGACTCACTTCCAGTTATGTTTCTTTCAATTGTTTTTATTTGCTGGCTGCAAGCAGTGGTTCTTTTGGTACCTTGTCATTTCTTTTCACAGCATGAGTGACTTTTTTAGAAATCTGCTCTTTCTCAAGCTGCACACATGCTTTCCAAAAGGCTGCTTGGAAATTTCCTAGTTAGTAATGAAATTAATCATTAATTTACTCCCATGAATTTTGCTTGGCAGACACAGCTTTGTACGAGTCAAAGAAAACCATAAGCCTTAATGAAATTGCAGTTAAGCTGTTACTGATAGCTACAGTTTTTGGTCACCACATTTAGGTAGATTATATGTGTATGTTGCCTTTACCTCTGCTTTTAGAAGGTAAATTGCAGCCTAGGAATGTAAAGTAACTCATTATTGCTTTTTTCCTATTGCTGAATGAGAAATAATCACCTTTAAGGTTAAAAGAGATAAGGCAATTTTGTTGGATACAGAATTTGATGCTAACAGTCCGAACTGCTGGCTTTGGCCATGAATCCTTTTGTGACTCAATCTCCTCATCTGTTTAAAGGGGATAACATCGCTTCATGTAAGCAGCACAGGGGTGATGGTGATTCAAGTTTAAATATCTGATGTTTGCAAAGTATTCTAAAGGCTTAAAGTACCAAGCATTGCTTTGACAGGTTTTTGCATTCTATATCCTTTCTTTGAGCAAAATGAATTTTTATGGTTTTGCTTATGAAATCTATCAATTATAACCAAACTTTATATCACACTTCAAGTTCATCTGTATAACAGCTATTATATAATAAGAAAAGGGATAAAATACATAAAAATGATCTAGCTGATACCCAGCCTCCTTGACTGTAAGGAAGAGCTTGCAGGCCAACACAGGAAGGCATTGTTCTCACTTCTGCCTCCTGTCTTTCTCTGTTGGTGCTAGTTGGACAAGCATGTCTTATTTATATTCACCAAACCACAAGATCCTCCTCCCCAACCAAAATGGATCATAGTACTCTCCCTCTACAAAAATATGTGACAGTTACTAAATGCACCAGAGAACACCGAAGGATCTTGAAGTCTTTAGGTGTAAATATGTTTGTTAAGGTTCCCAGTGGTTGACAATTTATAATAGTATGAATAATAAGAAATCAAATAATGAAGGGCAGCATGTGACAGGTCCAGCTAGGACTGTGGCCAAGTCAGTCTGTTAGGACAAGGTCTCAGAAGCAGGTAGGTGGAAGAACTACCATTTATACCTTTCCCATTTACTGGTCTCCTGCCTGTAGGAAGCAAAGAAGGAGTCTCAGATAGAAAACTATTTCAAGACAGATTGCACAGTACCTCATTTGCTAGGTAGGTGTAGAGGACTTTGCCTTTGATAACAAACCAGCGTTTCTTCCAGTGTCTTTTGCCTCCCTTACATCTGCTGAGGTAACCACTGATGGTAGCTCCCTCTCCTGAGGCTGCCACCTGGAGCACGGTAGGAGAAATCAGGATTAGTAACAGTAAAGTTTTTTCCCCTCTTGATTATGCATGTTTGCATCACACAAACCACTAAGTGAAACCTTAAAAGTATTGATACAGAAAAAATATAAGCATGCTATTATGGTTCTTTTTAACTGTTTGAATATTTATAGGTAAACTTAATTCTCAGTTACTCTAATGGAAAATATGCAGTTATTATTGAGGTCAGTAAGATTACAGTTGTTTTCTGAAAAGCCAAACTTGTCCCTTTTCCCACATGTGGTGGTTTTTGGGTGCTTTTCATGTTTTAAAAGTACATGCTTCCAGAAGTGAATTAGAGTCTTGTAGCTGAACACTTTTAAGACGTAGGTATATATAGGGCCTTGCTATATTTTTACATTAATTTATGTTAATCACTTTGGTAATGACTTGGTTTCATTTTTGAAATAATATTTCTGAGAAGACTTGCTCCTCTTATAGAAATATTTTGAGGTCTAAGGGCTTAATGTTCTTAAAAATCCAGGTTTTGAGTAGATGGAACTATACACATGCACACATAGAATGCAGTGTACATCATTAGTTACAGCAGTAAACTATAGTAATATTGGATTTGGAAACAAAGGGCATAGATTCAAAAGCAGCTTTTGTAACACTGATACAAGAGATGACTGAGAATTAAAATAGCAGTGTTTTGCAGCAGAATAGAAATGTTCCAGGACATGGAGTAATGCTATTGTGAGATAGTTCATGTTAATAAAGATGTGCTGCTTCCCTGTGGATAGAAAGGTGATGCTTTTTTCCTCATGGGGTTGAAATTCTGCCAGCTACTTCTTTTAGTATTCAATTTGAGTGTTTGTATTACATGCTTGTATCTTTGGCACAGTTTCATGAACAAACCCCAAGAAATTCCAGTGTCTCGACTGCACAATGAGTTCAGCAAAATGTTTGCACCCTAGTCTCTTTATTACAATGATAAATGCCTGCAGAAATGGGAGTACCTTACTGTACTCAAGTTCAGTGGGCAGTTTAGCTACCTAGAATCAATCATCAACATGATTGGCACCTTGTTCCTGGAAAGAATACTAACACAATTGGAGAAATCATGTCACCATTGAAATTGGTGGGAATTTTGTTTACATTGGTGAAGTCAAGATTTTACCCATTTGATTTGAAATAGTTTTGTTTGAGCTGGAGGGGAAGTGCCTGGTGAAACATGTATGCTCTTGAATTGACTGCCAAGGACTATTCACTAAGCCTATTTCTAAGTAAGTGTTATTTTATTTCTCTTGAAATCAAAGTAAGATTTCAGAAGTAAGGGCCTTCTTAAGAAAGGTAACTGATGAACAGTATATCGTGCTCTGTTGATCTGCCCTCTTGTTCTGTCTAGTACCTTGAAAGCATTTTAGTTTTTTCAAGACTTCATAGGCTGATGAACAAATTAAAGTACCATACTCTCCCACTCTCTCAGTGGGCTCAAGACACTTCTGTGGTATCTCCAGAGCTAAGAGTATTTTTGTGAACACTACTGTGAAAAGCAAAACAAAAGAAATTGCATGATGAAAGTAAACCAAGGCATGTGCTGAGCCCACTGCACACAGTATAATTCAAAAACAGCTGCTGAAATATGAGCACACAGTTTTCTATAGTTCCTTGCCTTTCTCAGGCAGCTTGGTTCCTACCTCCATGAGAGCTGAAGGGATTTTCTTCTGTTTCTTAAAAGATGAATAATGAATATTGTGGAAAACAGAGGAGAAAGCACTGCTTGAACACCTAGATGAAGCTGGAGGGAAGCTCACACTTAGTGGCCGCTCTGCAAGATTAAGAAAATTCAGAAAGGGAAGGGGGAAATGGATAAGTTGGCATATATCAGGCTAGGGTAGAGACATGTTACACTAATATAAATAACTACGGAACATGCAATGCATCCTTTATACACAGTTTTTATTTTAGCCTTTCTTTCAAATCACCTTTTTAAGTCTGATGAGTGGGTTCCATGGCACCCTCAGTTAATGGTACTAACCTAAAGTTTCTTGAAAAGGTCTGCAAGAAAGCTGACAAAGCTCAAAACACAGCTTGTTTTCTTCTTGTTTAAAATAAGCATTAAGCAAATGGTTTTGACATCTTTCTCCTTTATGTTGTGTAACACCTTTCCAGGATAGATTCACTAATGCAACATTCTTTCTGTATGAACCATTCATTCTCTTTGAATTGTACATGGGAGACAGTTATTCTGTATCTGAAAATTTCCATTAGGCCCATGTGTCCGAGTTCATATCTTCATGATTTCACTTCTGGCAACACATTATTTGAATGCTCTTAGTAAAGCATAGCATTAGTTTAGCGCAAATCTGAGTTACTGTTTCTGGACACATGTGGGAACTCAGCACATCACTCCAGATGTCCAGAGTTACCCAGAGAACCCTTGGGGGGCTCGGAAATCCTGGAATGTTGCCAGGAGCATCTGGTGGCTTGACTTCGATCCCTCTAGGGATGTGCCACCTGTTTGAGGACATGAGAGTCACTTGGGAGTGAATGGTGCAGGAATGATGGATTTACAGGGTGAAATATTGATTTTAGGCGTTTGGTACAGGGGGGTTATGGAGACAAGATGGAGGGATCAGGGCGTGTCTTGTCCTTCTTCTTTCTTCTTCTTGTCATCCATTTTCTGTGGTGATGTTGGCACTTGGGGATTGGTTCATGGTGAAGGTGCACTTGCTAATATGGGTGAAAGGTATTGGGAAATAAAGGTAAATATGATGTACGTAGTTTTTAGTATAAAAAGACACGACCACCCCGTGGATGGTCAGAGTGCCCTTGGCTGCCTTGCAGGTCAGACCTCTGCTGGGCAGAAAGAAAATTCTGTAGATAAGAAATAATAAACAATCTGAAGACTGAAAAACTGAAGAGTCCAGACTCGTCCTTTGAAGCGCGGGCTGCCCCAGAACCATCCTACGCGTGTCTGGGCAGAGACAGACAGCCAACCGGACAGATACACATTGGCTTGGGGATGCTTTTTTTGGCTGTTGTGACAGCATCTGTTTATGTGTTTTCTTGGCTAGCATGAATTTCTTTAATCAGAAGGGAAAAACGAAGCTTCATCTGTCCATGCCTTTTTTTCCTGGCAATGTAGTAAGCTTACTTTTAGAGACTGTCTACATGAGTAGTTGTGCAAGAAAATTGTTTCCTGTTCACTCTCTGTTCATATATCTGTAACCCCTCTCCCCCTTTTGTCTTTTATTTGGATGTGTACTTAAGTCAGAAGAGACTTATGTAGTAGGATAATAATACAAAGTTCTAGATAGGCAGTAGCTCTTCTGCTTTGAATTCACACTTTCATCTGTAACTAGATAAACTTGCCTTGTAGAGCAGCTCTTAGTAACTCTGCACTTAGCCTTAGTATATCTTTTTGTAAAAGCAACAACATGGATGAGGACAGTGAAGAACCACAAAGACATGTTTTATTTTAATGGATAATTAATTAGAAATGACAGGCAATAGTTATCACCTATAATTACATCAATTTAGTCCAATTGCTTGACCAATTAAGGGTTGCCCAAACATTAAAACATGTTATTAAGGGCATTGTTTAAATGTCTCTTAAACACTGACAGGCAGGGGGTATAGACCACCTCTCTAGAAAGCCTGTTCCAATGTTTGGCCACCCTCTGGTAAACTAAAGGTTTCCTCATATCAAGTCACAGCCTTCCCTGCTGAAGTGCTGAACCTTTCTCCTGTGTCTTGTCACTGGAGCAGAGGGAGAAGAGATCAGCACCACTGTTTCCTGTCTCCTCCTCAGGAAGCTTCCGAGAGCACCTTCCAGACTCCTTATCTTCAAAGGAGGCAAACTCAGTCCTCAGCTGCTCCTCGTAGGACATTGTTTTTATCATTATTCTGGTTTATCCAAAGGCTAGGGGAGGTCTCAGAGAACTGGCTTATAATCATAGAACCCCAGAATGTTTTGAGTTGGAAGAGAGCTTAAACTTCATCTTGTTCCATCCCCTGCCATGCACAGGGATGCCTTTCACTAGACCAGGTGGCTCCAAGGTCGGTCCAACCAGGCCTGGAACACTTCCAAGGGACAGGGCAGCTGCAGCTTCTCCGGGAAACCTGTGCCAGTGCCTCATCACCCTCTGAGCAAGAATTTCTTCTGTAGAGCTAACCTAAGTTTCCTCTGTTCCAGTCTGAAAAAACAGTTTGCTAAACTTGATTTTATGGCTCACTAAGCAGTTTTAGCTGCTACAGAGCCTGGCTCTCCCAGAACCTCAGTACACATGCCTCAAACTTGAAATGAGGAGTACTATTTAAGAAAACACAATATAGAAGGCAAGTCCTAAATCATCCCCATTATACAAGCAGGAAATAGATTTGTCAGTTTTGTAAGAATGAAAGAATCTTACCTCTTTTCTTAAGTTCCACATAGCAGCTATCACAGACTTTTGCTGCTTGATCTTTGAGGTACTTCATAGGGTACTTGTTTCTTGAACAATTTCGACATACAATCTGTTTCAGCAAGAGGAGAGGCACATAAATACAATATAAGTTTATAGATATGCACATAGAAAACAAATCCCCTGAGCTGGCTGGGAGAGGAAGTTGGATAGTGGACCAGACATGACTCTCTCCTGAATCTGTGGCAGTCAGGAAATGCCTGCTGATTGAAATGTGATTGCTGTAGCTTTACACTGCTGTAAGCCAAGCAGAATTGGTCAGTGTATTTGGTTGCACACCATTGCTGTGCCCTTCTCTCCAGGAATTTACACCTTCCCACCACTGAATCACAGAAAGACCACTTTAATATGACTTCTGTTTTCGTAGCTTTGTAACTAACATTGTTTTCTTAAACAAGTTTGTCTGCTCCTCCAAACCCTGTGTATGTACAGATTGATTTTCTCAGTGGAATTAGGAAAAAAGACTAAGTTAAACGCTTTTTTTATCCTATCAAAAATTGCTGTTGGTTTTATTAAAATAAATTTTAAAATCAGGTTAAAAGACAGCAGTGGTTTAAAACAGGACTGCAGTTTTATGTATACAGGCAAATCTCTTTAGTCAGAGGTCAAGGGATCAAACCAGGAAAGCTTATAGGTCCCCTGAGCTTTAGGGCAAAAGGCAACAGCTCTTTGGAGCACAGAGGAAACATTCCCTTTAGTCACTGATCAAACCATGCTCTGCTGCTGAGTTTCTTCACTTTCCTTGGAAGATCATTTTGCCAGCTGTTATTAGGGACAGGACATGGAGTAGTTGTGCTACTGCTCTGGTCCAGAACAGAGCCTGTATTTTTAGTCTATTTCTTCACTGTCTCTAGAGCTAGCTGTGTGTTAGATAAAAGGGCTGCACGCAACAACAATTATCCTGTCAGTCTTTAACAACTAGCCTTTAGGAGGTAATTTGACCTCAAGGAAAAGTTACTGTTATTCCTTCTAGTAACAGTAGAAACCTAACTAGCTAATTTAGCAAAGCGCTCACTGGTTCTGTTAGAAGTCGAATTGTCTGTCACCTTGATGTTGCTACAAATTTTCAGATTAAAGCAGCAGCCGCCAGTGTCCTAGAGGTGTGAATAAAACCCCTTGAGAAGCTCGCACAGCTCTTACCTTCCCGCAGGCATGGCAATGATGTCGCCTCAAAGTGAGGGTAAAGTCACAGCCACAGTTCATGCACATCATGACATGGGACACGGGCACCAGTGTAGGAGGCCTCTCACCCAAGGGTATTCCAAGCCTTTCCCTTAACTTAAAATCAAAGAAGAATAAATGAAGAAGCATCCACACTTCCTAAGTCCGCTCAGCCCTGTTGCATTACATACAATTCTCTCAGTCTACCTTCATCTACTAAGATCCCCAAATTTTCTCATTCTTAATGCACTTCTATAAGTGACATACAGCTGCTTCAGCACTGAAAGATTAGCACACACTGCTGTTAAAGCCAGAGTCACAAAAAGTAAAAATCCACATAAATCTATTTTTGGTCAGGCCCTGACACTCTTCCACATCAGAAAATTATCTGACTAATTGCATATGAAAATTGCAGGTAGGAACACGACTTAAAAGCATCTTTTTGTTAGCAGCTTTTGAAATGATATCCAAAAAAAGCTCTACAACCTTAAATCGAAAAAGCCCCTGAGCTCTTTGTCATTACACCTTGGGACAGCTGTGTGATAAGGGAAGGGAGGATAAAGAAAACAGTAGACCCAAAGATGAATTTACCCCACTCCAAATCTGATCCATGCTTTCTGGTTGATCTCAATATGTGTAAGCAGTTTTAGAAAATGTATTTGCTGTTCCTAGTTCTTGAAATTCATCACATGGCAGTGATGTTCAGGTGCCTTTGCTTCAAGCCCAGGGAGCCACGATCAGTGTGGAACTGAAGGCAAGCTAACAAGGTGTGCTACTTCAGGTTCAGCACCAAAGTATTATGAGTGCCCCATTGTGATTTCACAACTGCTCAGCATTTGGCACATGTAGGACAAATTCTGTGCTTTTGAAGGATTGTTTCCGATATGGAAATTAGACTTCTGCCAACACACAGGATCTAAACACAGACAAATCAAATTCCTCCAAATCAAATTCCTCCAAGTTTCTCCATGCACACATTCAAGCTTATACCAGAGGCAGAGATGCAAAACAAATTATTGTTTCATTTGTTGAAAAAGGATTTGGTTTAGATTAAACTGACTAATTTCAAGTGTTTTTTTCTGTTAAATATTTGAAAGTAGATTCGAATACAGGCCAGAAAAAAAAGTCCGATTTGTTTTTGAATTAATTTTTTACTTACTGAGGTCTTAAAAATTAATTTACAGAATGGTTGAATTTGGAAAGGAACTCTGAAGGTCACTTGGTTCAACCACTCTGCTCAGGCAAAGCCACATAGTGGCAGTTGGCAAGAACTGTGTATGGGTGTCTCCTGAACATCTCCAAGGATGGAGACTCCACAACCTCCTCAGGCAACCCTGGGTGCCAATGCTCAGTCACCCTGAGGGTGAAAAAGTGTTTGCTGCTGTTTGAAGAAGTTTCCTGTGTTTCAGTTTGTGGCCACTGCCTCTAGTCCTGTCACTGGACACCACTGAGAAGAGCCCAGTTTCTTATTCTTTGTGCCCTCCAGGTATTCATACAGTAGATGATCCCTGAGCCTTCTCTTCTCGTGGCTGAACAGTCCCAGCTTTCTCAGCCTTTTCTCCTATCTGAGGTGCTCCAGTCCCTTATCAGCTTTGCTGCCCTTTCTTGACTCTTCCCAAGGTTTCCATGTGTCATACTGAGGAGCCCAGCATTGGACACAGCACTCCAGATGTGGCCTCACCAGCACTCTTTTGTATTTATGGGGCTCTATGTAATCTAAAATAGCTTTTTAAATTTTTATCAGATGCAGGTTTTGCCTCCTTAACTGGGAGTAGAATAACTGAAAATAATGAGATAATATGCATAATTGCACTGGTATAATTTCAATATTGCTGGTGGGGTTTGCATTGATAGTGACTTTATTGTGTATATGATAGTAGTGTAATTAATGGTTTTGGTTTTTTTTTTAATCTATGAAGTTTGTAGCTATTTTTAATAAATCCAAAATAACTACTTGTTTGTTGTTGAGGACAAAACAATCTTCCTCCAGAAGAATTAAGCAAAGGCCACAGAGTATGGAGTGTGATTAATATTTCAGAGGTGGCCCATGAGCTGTGATGAGTTTCACTGTTCAAGCTCGGAATGCTTATTTAAATGAAAATAGAATGTATGGCTACTAGGAACTCCATATTGTACAACCCTCCTCCTTTCGTGTCTCTGTCTTTCTCTCCCTTCCCTTTTCAAGCATTGAAAGATTTGGCCTCCTTTTACCTCCACGCTACTGTGGAAAGTCGAAGTCTTGTGAGCTTTGCAGTCATCTGGGATGTGTTTGGTGATGCAGCTGTACCAGTCATCCCTTTCTGAGCAAGAGCTGGGGAATGAAATACAGCAGAGCAGTCAATGCCATGTACAGCAGGGACTGAAACAAACTGATCAGAGGAGAAAAGTTTCACTTCATGAATGTTTGCTTTTCCCCACTACTGCACTGAACTTGTAATTTTCTGACCAGGAACAAAATTGACTGTTGGACATATTCAGAGTGATGATTAGTGTAGCTCCATGCTTAGGACTGTGACTGAGAAGGAACCAAATACCCAGAAATTTTTTCAAAGTAGTCTCTGGCTTTGCTATAAGCTGCTCAATCCTGGATCACACAGGACAATATGAAGGGGCTCTTTTTGTCCTGTCTTTTTGTCCTTGTCTGCCCTCTTTTAGGCACTCTAGTGCATAGAGTGTTGGCCTATAGGGGTTGCTCAAAACAAGCGTGTTTATGCTCATCTCTACAGTGGGCTGCTTAGGTGAATTGCATATTGGGAAATGCAGAAGTGTACTGCCCACGGTAGAGGTGTGAATAATTAATTTTCCTTTAGCTTCTTCACAGACAGCCTCCAGTCTCCTGGAATAGAAGAAGCCAGGATAGCAATTATTGAAGGAACCTGGGTGTTCCCTGGGGTTGCAGTTACCCGTGGAGGCCAGTAATTCTCCAGACTGGCCCCTAGATGCCCCCTGTGGACAAGGCAAACCAGCGAGCACTTCGCATTTGCCCGCTAGTCCAGCTATCCCCAAAAACCAGCAGGGTGAGTTCCTGTTATTTTACAGATGCATTTGCTGTGTTACAGCTGTGAGGTATCCTGCCTGTTTCAGCTGTTTTTTTCTGCTGTGATTTCAAACTGTGCACTTCCTGTTCATCTGAAACTCTGCACAGCTCTAGCGGTTTCTAGCCTGTCACTGGAGAGAATGCAACTCAGTGTGGTCTCCCCTTTCCAGATCATACCAGCCACTCACATTAAAGCTACCCACTAGACTTTGTTGTAAAAACTAGCAGTGGCATCATTGCCAGCTGCTGTTCAGCTGTGATTTCCTCACACTGTCCTCATGAAGACCACCAAACAAGACATCTGAGAACAATTTGTGTTTTGTGGTCTTAAAAAAAAAAAAAAAAGGAGCACAAAAAGAGAGGAAATGCCAGATTTCCAGATTTTCTTGATGATCTTTGATTTGGCATCCCTCTGCACTATAAGCATAAGCCCTTGTCTGACGAACATCAGCCTGTGCAAAATTCAACAAGCCTGGAGCAGAAACTCTGAGCTAGTGTGTGTACTACAAATGGGGTAGCTTCCTCTGGAAGCCAAGGAGCTAAGTTATAGGAGATCACCTCTGTCAAGAGTCACACTACTAGTCATAGAATTCCAGAATGGTTTGGGTTGGAAGAGACCTTAAAGATCATCTCATGCCATGGGCAGGGACACCTTTCCCTAGACCAGGTTGCTCAGAGCTCTATTTAGCCTAGTCACTCCTTATTACTACCAAAGTTACCACCTGTCAAATTACACTTTCTAAGAAATCTGAAGATGTCTGTATCTTCCAGAAAAATCATGTTCACTGCCTAGAAAACACTAAAAGAAGTCCTGATTTTCCTGATTTAAACATTTGTCTTGCTAATTCTTTAATGGAAATTCTCTTCACTTGAGAATTAAGATATGATTAAAAAACCCAAAAGAAACAAACAAAGGAAATCATGGCCCATATAGTGTTGGAAATTAAAGCCACTTTAGGAAAGACAGGTAAGAAGGACAACATACTAGCAAAAGTCTGATATCTAATTGGCCCCTTAAGCCTCTTTTCCACTCAATTAAAAATATCTAGGAAGTAATTACAGGTTTTTAGTGACTAAATGTGGGAATAACACCCATATGATGATAAGTAAAATCGATTATGTCAATTTGCATAGGCTTGTTCTTAATTAGATATTTGACTGGTTGCATGAATGCTCAGCAGAGTTTTTGCTGAACCTCTGACACTCAGAAGCTCAGCCCTTATTCCACCATTGCCACATTTGGTCCTTGTAGGATTTTTGGGATGCATCTTCTGTGCTGAGCTATCAGTTATCCATGTCAGCTCATATATTCATCATTAAACAAACAGAAAGAGGGGGTCAAGTTGCCACTGCATTTCACTAGACAGCAGGGGACATCCACAGAACAAAGAAATTGGACCAGGATGGGATTTTGTCAAAGCGCTACCACTATCACTTTAAATTAGCCTTGCAGGAGGTAATATTGACTGTGTTATCCCAATATTTTCTCTGGTATTTTATATAAGCCCCACAGAATTATATCTGTGTCCAAGATTAATATTTTTGAAATGTAAATAAAGATATAAGAGCATATGAGCCTTCTCCATAAATATGTTGTGCTCAAATCTGTTAGTAGCTCCCTGCTAAACCAATAACATGGCTCTTCAGGTGAATGAGCCATTTTCAGCAGGAAATGCTAAGACTTTACAGTACTATCTGCTCATACAGCCATGCTGACTTCTGAGTTTTGGTCATCCTTGGTCTACAGCCTTTAGTCCTTGGGATTCATGTTGTATTTACTCAGTTCACTCACCTTGTCTCATACAAATATAAAGGCTCTGAGGTTTTCACTTTGGTTGTTAACCACTGGCCTATAGTGCAGCTTGTAGCCCCTCAGTGTGAGCAGTAAAATATAGAGATACTCAAGCCTCCTGTACTTTTCTTCACGTCTTTGGTGCTTCTTTTGGTTAGTGTAACAGGCCAAGGATGTTGTGCAATGGAGTTAGGAGAGCGTGCTGGCTACTGGCTCACTGGTATCTCATTAGCTCTGCCAGCCAGTACAAAAAGGAGGAGGAATAACTGTTCTGGGGTGACTTATGGCAGATTGGTCACAGAATGAGCAGCACAAGGAGACGGAAGGGGCTCTATCCCAGCCTCTATCTGTCTGTTATCAGAAGGATAACCTTAGTCTCAGGTGCTGGTTCTATCTACAAACAAACACAGCTCACAGTTGCCTCACATACTTTATTTATCCTAATTAAGCATGGACTTGATATGAGTACAAAAGGCAAAGAAGCATCCTAATAATGCAAGCAGTGTATCCCAAGCTGCTCACTAGGGATGACAACTTCAGTTGGTCTGGGGAAAGGGGACATGCAACAGAATTTCCCCTCTACAATACAGAAGGACTGTACACATCTTGCTTTTATAATTGGCAGGTAATTCATTAGTATATTCTGAGGACTGTGAAGAGTGTGGAGGTCTATGGAAATCTCAGATATGGTTATAAAAGGAAATGGACCAAAAGGCTTTAACTGGTAGCTGAGCACTCCCCACAGATGGTAAGTGCTCTGGGAAGGATGAGAGCTCCAAATGCTGATTCTGAGTAAGAAAGTGTCATCCCTGTCTTTTTCTGGCACTGTGTAAATTAGGAAGTTGGCTGTGTTTCTAGGCATTCTGTTGCACGCTGTAGTTGCAGACTGATGGTGGGAAAGTCAGTACTTAAAAGCACTGAAGGCCTTGTTATTTGGAAGAATTAATTTTAATACCCTCTGCCATGGACATTTGGGAACAGTACCTTGCTGACAGGGTCAGGCAATGCTCATCATATTCAATCTTCAGGATGTTTTGGGCTTTCTCTATCACTGGGCGACTGACCTAGAAGCAAACGCCATGAACGTGAATGTGGACATGAGTTAAACTGTCTATAATCCATACACCACACAAGTCTCAATGCATATGACCTCTTATATCCCTACCATCTGTTTCATATCTCAATGCAAAAAGATGGGCATTAGGGTTTTTCGTATTGCTGTTGTAATGAGGTATGATCTCTATTTCAACATGATGGTGTGCTGAAGGAAAAAAAACAAAACATATTCCAGCCTATAAGGATGAAGTATCTATGAGGGCTCAGTTTTAATATGACAAACATAGATGTTTAGTCTGCCAAGTGTCAGAGCATTTTGGTCTATGCTTGTAATGAATAGAAATCACTTTTTTTCTGATGTGTGGGCATTATATAATTATACAGTGAAGCACTTCAGTGAATGCCTGCCTGCAGCAAGGCTCTGTAACAGCAAAAAAACAAACAAACAACAAAAAAAAAAAAACACAACCACACCAAAAAAAAAAAAACAACAAACAAACAAAAAACCCAACCAAGAAAAAAAAAATCAACTTAAAAGCTACAGCTCAGCTAAAATTTTTTCCCTACCATGGAGTATATTAAGTATATTAGTGGCCTGCTAATAGCAACAGCCAGTGAGGAGAAACATAGGTTCATAGTTTCATACATTTTTATTAACAAGCACCATTATGCTAGTCTCTCAGTATTTCAAATGTACCTCAGTAAGAACTTGCTCCACAACTCCTTTTCACTAAACAGTAGAATATTTTGGCAATTCCTAGGAATTTCTGGGATCCTTTAGTTAGTTTTAAACTCTCAGGTCCCTGGGGTGATCAACCCCTGCCACGTTTTCACAACACCTTAAACTTCCTAAGTCATTCCACTGAAATTAATGATTAGTGATTCTCATCTTGTGTGTTTTCTAGATCATCAGACTTTTGAATTGTCACTTCAAATCCTCTTTCACATAAATACAACTTGGAATATTAGTTATAGAACAGTTATGAAGGTCCAATAGACCTCTTTGGCCCGATATTTCCTGTTGCATAAATTCTGGTGCCAATGAATACTTAGGAAAAGAGTGTGAGGACAGCTTAATTGTGTTTGCAATTTATAAATTTATCGAAGAAAAAGCTGGTTTCGTATCACTACATGAAATTGTTCCCAATACACCTTTTCCCCATAAAATTGGCTAATTGCTTTTTGAACCATTAATCCTTTTGATGAAAACAGTTAAAAGGCACATGAAAACCAGCCATGTGTCAATTTTGAGTAGCAAGAGTTTAAAACCAGGCAGACTAAGCTCTAGTGAATATATTGAAAGGAACAAAAATGCATTGGCTGGAGACAATGTTTGGAGGGTAACTGATTTTGGCTTGTATTATTTATGCAGTCTGAATAAGGCTGTCATATTAAGTCACAGACTTAGAGATAATATTTTTATGTTTGTTTTCTACTGTTTTTCCTTCTGTCTCCTGTAAGAGACAAGGAAATGCCCTGATAACAGGTCTATCCCCTCTTTCCCCTTGCTCAATATGAAACATAAACCAGCAAAGCACCAACAGTTCCCTATAAAACTTTAATTCAAGCTTTTAATAGAGATGAAGCATTACCTTCATGCCTGACACAGCCCAAGTGTTTTTCAGTCGGTATTTGCCATCCTTCTGGGGATATGTGTACAGCAGAACATCATTCATCTATATGAAAAGAAAGACAAAATCAATAATTTGCAGTATGGCTTGCAGGCTTGCCTGCTTGCCCATTCTCCTGGGGGGTATACCTGGAACAAGCTGTAACTTGATGAACTGCTGGAACTGTTACCTGACCCTAACCCTTTCCTAATATCCAGCCTAGCCCTCTCCTGACAGCTTCATGCTGTTGCCTTGGATCCTGTCACAGAGAGCAGAGACTGGTGCTGCTCCTCTACTGCCCCTCCTGAGGGAGCTGCAGACCATGATCATGTCTGACCTCAGTCTCCTCCGAGCTGAACAATTCAAGTGGCCTCAGCCACTCCTTGTATGGCTTCTCCTTCAGATCCTTACCCATCTCTGGGTTTCTCCTTTGGATGCTCTCTAACAGTTTTAGCTCCTTATGCTGTGGTGCCCAAAACTGCTCACAGTGCTCCAGGTGAGGCTGCCCCAGTGCAGAGCAGAGCAGGACAATCCCCTCCCTTGCCCAGCTGGTGATGCTTACCCTGATGCGCCCCTGGACATGGCTGGCCCTCTTGGCTGCCAGGGCACTGCTGACTCATATTCAGTTTTTGCTGACCAGGACCCACAGGTCCCTCTTCACAGTGCTGCTCTCCAGCGCCTCATTGACTAGTCTACACTAAAGGTTTTCCCCTCCCCAAAACTAATCCTTTTTAAACTTCATATGATTGGTGATTGCTCATCTTCCTAATTCGTCAAGGTTTCTCTGCAAGGCCTCTCTGCCCCCGAGGAAGTTGACAGCTCCTCCCAGTTTAGCATGATCGGCAAACTTACTTCTTATCCCTTACAGTCCTGCATCCCTGTTGTTCATGAAGATATTAAAGAGCACTGGCTCTAAAATGGGCCCTGCAGTACCTGGGCACTAAACCCAAGGAAGTGAACTCCTGAGAGAGATTTTCAGGATCCTCTCATAGTCTGCTATGAGGCTTCTTAAATAGCAAACTCAATTTTTTAAATGGATTTAAAAAGTTATATATCTCTTTAAAAACCTGCTTATTTTTTTATTACTCTTGATAAAGGATGACACTATGGTGCACATCATTAGCATTACTACCTTGATTAATATCCCAAGATTTTACTAAACGTTACTTTGCTTTTAATTGCCCATTTTTCCCCCTCCTTTTTTTCTTCCCTATTTAGCAGTAAGCTGTGATTTGGAGGTCTCACTAGCTACAATTTGACACAGTGAAATCATGACAAATATTTAAAAGCTTGTGAAGCAAAGGCACACATATTCGTGAAGAAAGAAAGGGTTTGCACTCACTGCTGTTTCCTTTGCAAAGACCTTAGTGATGGCCATTTGAATGGTATGGACAGAATTAGTATTAGTACCAGTGGTTTCATGCATCTTCCTGCTTCAACTGTTCACTGTTCCCTCAAGCAGTGAGGACAAGCTGATGATAAAAGCTGATCTTGCAGCCTCTCTGAAATCTGTGCTAGAGGAGATGGACTGCTAGAACCCTGTGGGAAGTTTCCACAAGTCCTTGGGCTTCAGACACAATTCTTGTTTGCCAGAATACTTTTAATAATTGGGATTCCCAGACTGCTTGGAGTTCGATATTGGACCACATACCCTTTTTCTGCACAGAGAAAGAAGGATATGTCTCATCCTTTGTTCCCTTTTTTCCAGTCGCTGCTTTCCTTTCCCCCCACCTTCTTTTTATAATTCTCTCTGTTGTGACAGTACCTAGTAACATGAGAGTCAATGCAAGTTTTCTAACCTACAGTGTTCAAGTTGATTGATCCAAACAAATTTAAGCCCTGCTAAACTGCTGGCATCCATATGTAATATACTCTCTTTCTAAAATCTTCTACTGTGTGTTTGGTTTTTCTGAATGTTTTAAAGGCTAGCTAATTATGAACCCTGCCTTCTTCTATTCAAGTCTGAGTTAAACATGCCCTGAGTGTCAGGGGACCAGTCTGAATGTGTGCTGGAGCTGTGCTTTTCAAGCTGTGACTCCAAAAATCTCCTATACTTCAACCCTGCCAGATACAGCATCAAACAGTCTCCCATTTGATAGCAGCTTCCTGCAATCCATTTTCAAAACAAGTGGTCTTTGTAGAGAAATTCTTAGAAGGGTGAGATAAGAGACAGGCTCTGAGTTGCAAAGTCTTGTGGTGAGGGGCAGTTAGGGGACCTGCCAGTTTCAGCAGCCCATACTGTGCTGCACAGAGGCCACAACATCCTTGTAAACAGAGACTGGACTCAGGAAACAGACACACAGCAAAACTCACAAAACATCCTGCCAGGAAACACCAGATTCAACAATACCATCAGCCTGCACAAAACAGCCAGCTCAAGTAACATTTTGATACACACAACATACACCTGCAGAAACATTTGAAATTTGTCTTTACACTGTCATGCATATATGTGCTGTGCAGAGACATACAGTGCTCCTCAGGGGTAGGTAAATATTCAGAGCACACCACTAAAGCACACTTTGAAACACAGGCCAAGTAGAATCCTAGCACACACCCAAGTTTTACAGCCTATTCTAGCTACAACTTCAGTTTGATGGGCTCATCTCCTGGGATGTGTAGGGATTAAGTTCTCAGGGTTATCCTTCGGTGTGTACTCTTGCTCTGAAATTCTCTCCAGTTCCTGGTCTTGATTTAGCTTTAGTCAGAGCAACTTCGCTGCTAAGAACTTCAGATATGCTATTCATGTAACAATCTCCTTGGGATAGTGAAGGTAAATACACTTATTCCATCAAAGCCAAGCTACATCTATTACATGTTATCATCTGGTGATCTTTTTGAGTCACTGCTGACATGTGAAGCATTAAAAAGAAGTTCTGAAAGGTATTTTTGTTAACAGACAAACCTGAGTTTTGCAAGTGGCTTCAAAGGATTACAATATAGTCCTTAGAAGATAAAGGCCTTAAATAAATGTCAGTTTTAGGAGAAAATGTTTAGGAAATGATTCTAATCTTGGGGTTTTGTCATGGGTTTTTCTTCCACAGAAATCACTGAACCTGAAGGTAGATATTTGCCAGTAAGTTTCAAGTAGTTTCAATGATCCAGTCACCCTCTCCCTGCCCCTACTGGAGATACAACACAGGAAGCCTGAAGTAATTGCAACTTCAGTGTGTTAGATCAGGAAATAAGCCAGGTTTATGTCTCTTGGTTCTTGAAAGTGACCATTATGACTAGGTCCACCCCATTCTTTGCATGACAGCACATTTGGTCACAATTTGCCTTGCTGACTGAAAGGAAGAAAAAAACCCACTGTTTCTGGATAGTGAGAGCATCTATTAACAAGACATTGGCTACTGTAATGTCTCCAGATGTCAAGAGACACTTCTCTCTCTGCAGTTAACATCTGAACTTTCCCCAGGAAATAGTTCCTAAACTAGAGAGTGCCAGAAAGTAATTTCTGTGCTTGTTCTGTTCCAATAATTTTGGCCTCTTGTGACTTATGACCTTCAAGCTGATACAACCATTTTGGATAACTTGAAATTTTTATAAGTTTATCCCATGTTTAAATTACTTTCCTCTTAGCGCTTATTATCAACTTGATTTTTGATCTTCCTTTAAAATTCTCTGTAACGGTTACAACAGCTAAGTTTGTAGCACTTCCATTTTTGCTATAGTAATGGGTTATGATGACAGCAACAAACACATTGGAAGACTAAAGGGTAGTGACGTCTTGGAATTTTGTCCCAGCTTTAGCCACAATTCCAAAGTAATTTTGAAGACTAGCAAAGGCAAGTGCTTCATAAGAGAGATCAGTAAGAATGTAATTATCATCTGTTACTAAGTGGTTATCAGTGGACTTCAGAGTTTCTGCTGCTGAGAACATGGTTTCTTAACGCCAGCTCCTGGAGTTTCTGGCATAGCCTTTTTCCTGTGACTGCAACGAAGTCATGATTCTACATGGGCTTAGGTAACCATAGATATAGGCTGGGCTTTGACTATGAAGGCTAGGAGGAGGGCCAGGTTTGTGGCTAGGCCTGATCGCGAAGAGTTTAGTATAGGGTGTGAAAGTTTGAGTATTGGGAAGTATATATTTGATATTTATTGCACTTGTTACAGTCCATTGATGCTGACTCTGTAAAACAGAACTGCAGCTATCTCACATTTGAAGATTTGCGTGAAATCCATCATTTTCAGTACATGCAAGTCTGAATTTTCACAGAAACCACTGAAACTATCAAAAAAGCGCAGCACCGGCACTTCATCCCATCCCATCCCATCTGATCTTTGATTATGATGGCAATATGTGATTGAGGTGGGAAAGAAGCCTGTGCATACACTCATGCACAAATAGGAGTTACAAGTAAGAAGGAGAAATATAAAGGATTAATGCAAAATATATGGCTTCTGTAATAAGCCATCTCTCTGCCTTACAGTGATCCCATGGTGAAAAGCTGTCAGCATTTAAAGGCGACAGCAAATACGTATGCCAGGCAAATAATTAATTTATTTTAAAATCAATTCTGCAAGCAATATTGTAATGTTAATAGCAGCAGTAACTCTCACTTCTTTATGGCTTTTTTCTGGGAGGGAGCTGTGAAGAATTTTTCAAACATTAACAGGTAAGCAGCTAACAAAGTCCTAAGACACAGGCAAGTATCATAATCCCCTTAATATTGAAAAGTGTAATAGAAATATGTGTGGTTACAAAATATGCTACCTGAAAAGTAGAGCTCAGGAGCCTGGAGTCTCAGATATTCTCTAACTGCTCAATGGAGTGTGTGATGCAAAATAGAAAGCATAAGTGATCATAGCATATCTCCAAAACAGTGGGATTTCATCTGTTTTTAATTTGATTTGATTATGATGGCAATATGTGATTGAGGAGGGAAAGAAGCTTGTGCATACACTCATGCACAAATAGGAGTTACAAGTACTTGCAGGAGGGTTGTGGATCCTTGTAAAGAGTATTCCAGCCAAGTGATGAAAGGTTCATTTTTCCTAATTATCCTAGAAGAATGTTGCAAAGTGTCACTGAAAACTGTTGTTCCAATCCACACTAAATTGGAGGTGTGTGTTTAGAGGAACTACACTGAGGCAATGCACACAATTATCAGGACAGCAGGAGCTAAAAGCAAGTTCTTCAGTTTCAAAGATCCCTCCCAAGTGTGACCAAAGGAAATTTTCAGCTACTTCAGCAGTAGGGTATTCTCTCTTGTTCCTGATAAAGTCTTCAAAGGTCTTAGGACTTTCAAGTGTGCAGCTTAATTCCTGAAGGTTTTCAGGAGTTCTCATCTTCCTCATCCCCTTGAAAATTTGCGCTTCTTTGTAGAATTACATCCTGGTGAAGGCTGTATGTAACTGTTGCACAACCGGAGGGTTGCACAGCACATATTTCTGTATGCAGGGCCAATGGGACGTGTGAAAGGACTACAGCCCTGTTAGCAACAGGAACTAACTCACTACATCACTGTTGATAGTTAAATGACTTGCAGCCTAAAATCTCCCAGGCTTCAGGGTTGCATAAATGCGTTGAAAGATATGAGAGAAACAGTAAAAATTTTAAAAAATCTTACCAAGAACAAATGTCGAGGATGCCTGTTTTTGCCAGAGACTTTCATCAGCGTTCCCTCTTTAACAAAGATCTGAAGAGAAAACAGCAGATTGTAATCCTGAGATTTCATTCTGAATCTTTCTGAGAAAAAAAAAGAGTATTTATCCTTGGGAAGGAGCTACTCCAATGCCATTCATCAGCACAAGAAGAGATAGAGAGCCTCAACACTTGTTTCTAGCCTTACTCTCTATGATCTGGCTTAGTCTTTGCCTGGGTTAGCTCTGCTACCCTTCATGGCTTGCATTTGTGTCAGTACAAAATGGGTTGGAATCCCACTTGTCCTCAGCCCACTCTTTCTGCACTGTGGACTGTGCTCAGAGGTGATTGTCACAGGTTGAAAATTAACATGTAATGAGCTTTAGAAAAGAATTCTTGTCTTTAAAAGTCCTCTGAAATAGGCAGACCAATTAGAAAACCTGAAACCTTAGGTTTTAGTATGCTACACCATCTTAACTATACCTCCATATATAATTTGTATAAATTTGCAAACACAATACTTTTTCAGTCCATCTCATTACTTAGTATGTAGGTAGGACTGTGTATGTAAAAGCAGCTAAACCAGCACACTAGAACTTCATTGCAGCAATGTTTGAAAAAGTCTGCCATAACTAACTGAACTACATCAGTGGATTAACAGTCATCTGCCCTTTTCAGATGGAGAACAGAATATAGCGTACTTCTCCACTCTAGAATAGTTTATAATCAAAGAGACAAATCCTGAAAAATCTGCATGCTGGGCTTTGCAGAATTTGTTAAAGCATTACCTGGTAAGGGCAAGTGAGAATACGGATGTTAGAGAGAAAAATATTTGCAAAATTTGGCTGAAGAATATTCTTGTGCTATGAGTATGCATGCTTTGAAAATTGCTTCATGAATTTTTTTAAAGATATTGGTGGACTGAAGGGAAATTCAGAGTTGCAGAACTCAGGAAAGAAATCTTTTGAAGCATAGAAGCAGGCTGGAGCTGAGGGAACTGGACAGGTTTGAAAGTCAGAAGAAATTTGCATTTGATGTGGATAGCAAGACAGCTGTACAGTCTCTCATGTTTCTGTTGATGTGTTGCTTAAAAACAGCATCTTATATTAAAAGCACCATGGGGGAATGGTGAAAATATAAAATTGAAAACAAATTAATTGCCCTAATTTAAGGTTCTTAGCCAGCTATATAAAGAGGCTTTTCAGGCTGAAAGCAATTCCTGATAGAGTTGCAGTCTTTTGACAGGAGTATATAAGGAGGAAAGCAGTAGCTCCATCAAAATACACTACACTTGTGTCTGAGGATGTCTGAGGACTGCTGAAGTGAAAAGCCAAAAGGCTGCTCTGTGTAAAAGCAGAGACAATACATATCTTTCACAGCATGACCCTCTTTTTGTGTGCTGCCAGAGTGATGTTTTTTACACAAACCAGTGCTCCAACTTGTATCACAATAGCTCAGTAAACAACATCTGTAGGCATCTCAAACATGGCCATCCACACAGAGATATTGCTGGCCAGAAAGAATACCCTTACCAGCACAGGTTTGCCAGCAGCACTCACCCTTCCTGGCTGGAGGAGGCCGCTCTGCCCTCTCACACTGTGCTCAATGTGTACTAGCTTCTGCAAGTTTTCCTGGGAGAGAAAAACAGCATTTAGAAGGCTGCATGGAGACTGTTTTTATACAAGCAGGCAAATTTCCCCTCACCCCTCCTCACCATTTTATTTCTTTAGAACTGGTATTACAGAATTAGATTTCAGAGAGAGCTGAGACCAAAGATTTACACCCAGAAAGTCTTCTTCCTGCCTTATGGATTTTACAGAATCTCATCACCTGCATTCACATCTGCTGTGACCTTCTACCGTTCTTTTACCTGTGATTCCCCAGTGTACCTTCCAGAGGAACTGCTAACTTCATATGGTATTTATACATTGGCTTCTTTGCTGACTTTCTGGCTCTGTGAACTAATAAAATAGGGACAAAGTACAGTATCCGCTCCAAAGGCCTGTGCATAAGAGCCATGACACCAATAATCCAAAGCATGCTTTGGATTAAACCTGTTGCTAGGTTTATCTGAAGACTTACATTCTATGATAACAGATTAATGCCTTTGCAATAGGGGATGTAGAGGGTACACTAGTAAGCAGGCAATGAAGCTGCATTTCTGTTTGGATGCTCTGCAAAAACCAGGAAGTTTATGATTCAACTCTGATACTATTAACTATTTACCTAGCCTTAAGGCACAGTCAGTCAGTGGGCACTGGCACCAGGCATGAACTTATCTATGAAGATGGTAAATAAGATTAACCTAGATAAGTCTGTGCTCCCATAAAGAAAATCAGATGAATGTAAGAAGGAAGAAGGGATGTCTGTACCTTTGCAATATTGCTAGTCTTTTCAAATCTCCTTCCATTTAGCAGATGAGGCTGTTAAAATAGAGGCTTGTGCATAGGATTCAGCTGTACTTTTATCTGATCAGAACAGTAGAATAAGCTAACCAGGAGAAGTGAGTCCTCACTGGAATATGCCTAAAAATTAGGAGTCTCCTATCTAAGTCTCCTAGACTATACAGCCACTGTATCCTCTATCTTCAGTTATACACCCAGATAAACTACAGACTAAGGACCATACTTGATAAGGCCTTGTGACCTGACAGCCTTTTAGAACAGTTTTCTGCTTCAACAGGCAATGTTTTCCTTTGCTCCATTGACTGGCATTAATATACCCCTGGGATTAGTGAGACTTGATTAGATCATACACTGTATCTGCCTGATACAAATCAGTCATGTCTACAGGATCAGCTAACTGAGAAAGTTATCACAGCTACCAGAAGGAGCATATCCAAGTTAACATGATGATATGTCAAGGCTAATTTTCCCTGGATTTCAGCTAACACAATTAACATACCTATCTAGGCTTGCTTTTTGAATAAGCCTGAAATCTCCCTATCTTACTGCCCTAGCGAAATATTGCACTTGTTTAGCACGATACTTAGTTCTTAATCAGTAACTGGATGTCAAATACATGGAAATACCTACAAGCCTACAAGGCCTGACCAGCACAGGGCCTCACTGTGCCCATGCAACATAATTGACAGTTGACACATTTTCAAGAATTTGAGATGTCAGGTATCTCTTTTGCAATGCAGGAAGTAACAAATGGATTTTTTCAGGTCACTTCTAAAATACTATAGGCAAATAAAATAGAATCAACATATAAAGCAATAGCACAAGAAATATCAGGGATCATGGGACTGCTAACTTTTGCAAAAGGTATTTGCAAAGGACTTTCCTGTCACTGAAGGGTATTTTAGCCTGGCAATACCTGTCCAATTGACAGCTTCCACAATAAAAACCTGTTTTTTATCTGCAGAAAAAGCAGTGTTCTCCTGTGAGCACACTCGTGCCAGTGCTAGTTCTACTCATTTGGGTTTCTACCAGAGAAGTTGCAGCAGCCCAGCTTTTCTCAGGACTGCTGGCAGAGGAGCCTCTTGAAATGCTGATGTTTGCAATATGGACACATGTTCACCAGGAAACGGACAGAGAAGTATTGAACTCATTTCCTGAAGGAAGTCAAACACGCATCACATGTGAAGGATAGTGGTTTATCTGGGAATGTGGACAGCTGAGGGGGGGCATAGTTTCCTGTCAGTTCCCCAAAATTCTGAGTTTATATAGCTTTCTTCATTGGTCTTAAAACTATCACTATTCTTCTTTCTAAGATCCTTCACAATCCTACAATTAAGGAATAAAAGCAAAGCTCTACCCAGACAGTACAGCAAAAGTGGGTGTCAGAAATACTGCTGTGGCCATTTTAGCAGTGAACTGCAGCTTCCATAATTTTATCATGATGTCTATGCAGCAGGAACACCTCCCCAAGGAATTCACCAGCTGTTAATAGCAACAGTGATTTATAACTCTTAGCATCTTAGGGCCTCTAACAGATTATAGACATTCAGAAAGCAGTACAAACCCTGCTTAGTTCGTCTCCTGGAATTACAGATAGACATAGACTCTGTGGTGATGTTGTATTGTGCCTTGTACTTCTTGTTGTGTGCCTTGTACTTCTTTTTGTACATCTGTAACTTGAAAGTAATATTTTCGTATATGGTGAAAAAGGTTATGGTCATAATTTGCTTGAAAATCTTGCGTTAATAGTTCCCAGGAAAAACTGCTAGAGTCTTATTATCATAAAACAACAAAAAAAAGCTAATAATGGGTCACTGATATTCTATAGAAAATGTAGATCCTAATTCAGTGCTCCTATGATTTTAGAAGTGTTGTTTGATGAGCTGGTACACGGGAACAGAAATCATCTTCCTTCCAGGTATACGCCAAGTCTAAATTATTTCTTAGAAATTCAGCCAGGTACATGACAATTTATTAATGCTCTAAAACAAGTGGCATTGTTCAGTTTCTTCTGTAATTAATTATTTGCTTTTATGTTTTCTTTTTTTTAAACTGAGAGAAAGAAAATAAGTGCTGGTTGTGGCTTTTGTGTCTGGGATGTTAATTCAGGAGGACAACCTCTGATTTAGCAGAAAATTGAACTTTTTTTCTCATGAACCTGCACTTTCACAAAACCCTCCACATTCACACAAAAGGGAAAGAAGAAAATTTTGTTTCATCTCTTCCATACCAAAGTTTTGAAAAATAGTAGATGTGCTCTGATGATACAATAAAAAATAAGTGTAAATATATATCTGGAATTTTTGATGGAATTATTCCACAACAGACATTATTTATAGCAATTACTATACAATCTGTGACATGTGTACGACTCAGATGATACAATGACGTTCTTCAAATTGAAGCATGGCTTAGTAGAGACAAAATGATTTCATGGCAATGCAACACAAATTGGATTTTGGCCACTTACATATACTTCTGACTTCAGAAAAGTATTTCTATAAAAATCCGATATACCTGAGTGAAATCTAAGGAAGCAGAGGTGCCAGGAATGTGTGACCTTGATCTGTTTGAACTGAGCTCTTAGAGTTCTGAACCTCTAATACAGATATCCCTAAAGCTCTGAGATTTTTCGGGAAGTTATGCATGAGATCTCAGGTTTTGGATGAAATATTTATTTTGGTACAAAGACTGCTTCAATAATGGGAAAATATGATTATAAATTCTTTGCCGCCTGAGGAGAAGGAAAATCAGAATCAAACCAGTTGAATCAAACCACTTTGCTTAGAAGTCTGTAGTTTCAGAGTCTAGTTTACAGAGGGGTCAGATTACATTCCTTATTATGATAAAACTCTAGGCTTGTTAGACATCCTCCCTGCAACCTACATCTTTCTTCCACAACAGACATTAGTTCTTTCATCTTCATAACCAATTAGTGTGTTCTTCCCTAACAATTTGAGTGCATTCATTTTTTCAGCCTTAAAAACCTACCTGAAAACAAGCTCTTACTAAGAAGATTGATATTTCACTCCTTTCTTTCATCTACATCATCTTAATGTGATGACTTTTCACTTTGTATTTTGAATTTCATGTTCTGATGCCTGAATGATTATTAACAACCCTTTCATTGCTCAGAAAATGAAATAATAAAGAAGTGAGGTGAAACCCAAGAGGGGAAAAAACCTCATCTGGGCTATTTGCTATAGTGTCTTACATCTTGCACAGCTGCATTAAAGGGCACAGACCAACTCCACATCTGCAGTACTGTAAACCAGATCTGTATAAGCCCTTGAGTCTAACCTTGGAGGAGGCTTCAGAATCTAGCAGACATATGTATTCACTTGAATAGATGTGTAAAAACCTTACATTTGATCAGGGGAGCATGCGTCATAGTAGGACTCACCGCTTGGAGCATGCTGTCATTGGCTTGGTCCGTGATTTCAGAAACAATGAATAAGGCAGCTGAGGGATGAAGGAAAACAAACACCATGCATCACACAAAAGAGTAGAAAAATAACTCAAATCCCTCCTGATTGCAGGGGCATCCTTTGGCTTCTCTGTCATTTTCACAATGCAACAGCCTAGCAACTCTGACATGGCACAGGGTGCTGTCTCCCCTTCCTCCCTTCATCATTTTCTTGTGTGAGACAGCATCATGCTTGTGCTGATCCAGAGAGCTTATGAGGTCCCTTTTAAGCATCAAGGATGACACAAAGTCTTTTTTGTAATGTTTTCTAGTTGCAGATTCTTGTCAATGTCTTGTTATATAGAGAGATGAATGTAAACCAACTTTAGCCACCAAATAGCATGGCAGTCTAAACTGTACCTCTTACTGCTGAGAGAGAGGACATGTCATGCCTTTCTGATAGAAATGTGTGTGAAGTGGTGACACAAATTAATTCCTGGATTCTCCACTGGCAAATAACCTGGGCTAGGACATGTTTGCTGGCACTGAAGGCAGTGGCATAACATGGCTCAGGTCCCTATTTCACATCCCTTCCCCTGTGGCACAGGGCTTTCTATAAATTTCTGGTCATAACTTGGGAGCATGCTGGCTAGGAATGGCACAAGCATCTCCTAACCAAAATGAGGCAGGTAATTGTGGTCAGACGGCTTGAACATCTGCCCTGCTACTGTTTAAATTACTGGTATAGCTGTTGTTCTACCGTCAGTGACTAGGGTCCTGAATGTTGCATGAGTCTCTGCTCTTGGGCAGAATAAACTGACTTTCAGTCAACCACTGACTTTATTGCTATGAGTTGGTTTGAATTTATAATCAGTGTAGGAGAGCTGAATTGATTTCATTAATACAATGTTACTGCTGCTTACTCCAGCCTGGAAAATACTCCTACAGACATCACAACTAAACCTTGCTAAGATTTCAGTGGGAGTGAGAGACTTCTGCTTTATCTATCTCATGTGTTGAAAAGGATGGTGTTAGCAGTGGATTTGTTCCTGATTTTGCAGAACTGCTTTTTATGCAATGTCTTTCAACTTTATGTAACATTAAGAAATCCAGAATACAGATATGCAATTCAAATCTCCTTGGTTTCTCCCAAGTTCACAGAGTACAGCAGGCATACCATAGCTAATGGTACACAATCAGGCAGGGAGAACCATCCGAATTGATTTTACAATGACCAGGCCAAATATTTACAACGTCAAAGAGGACTAAGATTTCCTCAGTGACGCGGGCAAAACTACAGTGTCTGCACTATGCCTGTATAGATGTTTTCTTCTTCCGTAAGTTCCATCATGCCAAAACTATAGGAAGCCCATATGTTTCAATTAAAATTAAAAAGATACCATTCTTGTCCTAAATAATTTGTCTAAATTAGTAATCCGTTCTTACAGATTTTACATCTAACCTATTAATGCAAAATCTTGAAAAGAATCATCTTATATATACTACCAGTATAGAAATATTGCACCCCTTTAGAGGCAATGTTAGCAAAGCAGAAGTTTTCTTCTACGAATTTCATTTTACCTTGTGTGGCTTCATACTCTGTAGAATCAGGACAAAGATTATTCAAGTAATCTGTAGTAAATGATCAAATAAACACAGACATACAACAATCAGAATTCAGATCAACATAATTTGTAGTGTTGTTAGCTAAAACAGTAAATCCTAATCACAAAATCAGATACTGGTTGGGGTTGGAAGGGACATTAAGTATCATCTTGTTCTAATCCCTCTGCCATGGGCAGAAACACCTTCCAGCAGACCAGGTTACCCCAAGCCCCATCCAATCTGGACTTTGAATGCTTCCAGGAATCGGGCATCCACAGTAATGTCCCACAGCACTTTATTCCCAAATCATTAAGTGTATATATAGCCTCTGTCTAAAGCAAAATTCATCTTTGATGGCATTTTACTTAGAGAATCAATACAAAGAGCATTGATACAGATTTGGGCTCACATAACTTGGCAGGTACAAATAAACTGTCAAAAATGTTTCTCAAGAGAATTGCTGAGTAGCACCACTTTACAAATAACTCTTTTTCTAAGTAATTCTGATTTTCCATCTGAATGAATGCTGTTGGCTATACCTGCAGTTAGACTAAATGAATCATATGCTTTTTATGGGCACAGGAAGGAGACACTAGTTCTGTACAAGCAGGGTTTAAATAATTACTACCAAACTCAATCACAATCTGAAAATAGGTTCTGTAAGATAGATATGATAGTGCTTAGTGTGACAGCAATTATATTTCCATTATATACAAACCTTTAACCAGTGTTATTTTGGACTACTTTTCTTGGACCACCTGCTTATTCTGTGTCTGGGTCTTTATGCTTTTAAAGACTGTAGTATGTAAGTGCTACAGTTTAAAGACTCTAGCCTGGAAATACCTCATTCTTATCTTGCTGATTAGTCCAGATTCCTAAATTCTGCACTGAAGAACTAGACTTCTGTGCTGAGAATGGTGCTGGGCACGGATGTCTGTTCCCTTGAATGTCTTATCCCTACACATTTCCCTTTCTAGTGCTGTGTCTTCCCTGGCATCTTGAACTTCACCTGGCTTTTACCTGCATTCTGGAAAGCATCTGCCTGTACTCAGGCAGGCAGAAGGGGTTGTGTGATGTCATCAGGCAATATTTAGTGTTCCTTTTCACCACTGCAAGCTCTGTCCTCAGCTGTGGACTGAGTGGACAAATCCTTTCGGTTGTGGTGCCATAAGTGGTAACCAATACCCTCATAAATACCACTCCTTATCTGGTAGAATCAGCCAGTTATCACACAAGTGCACACACCTGAGAATCTGAAGGACTGCACTGCTCCAGACTCATTCTGTCCTAGCAGTCAAAGAGGGGCTTGGTTTCTTGAGGTGAAGAACTAAAGCAGTAAACCTATTTTCTGTAGTATCTTAATCCAGTAGACTTCATCTCAATACACACAAAAGCTTTCATTTTCCCAGTTAGTGTCAGTACATGGGACAAGGAGGAACTCAAGTTGTTTGAAGCATAAATAGAATCCAGTCACTGGAGTTTCACTGAAGCCCTTCAGCTTTCTCACAAAATATCATGCTGCATGTTTGCAATTTATCTTGTGGACCACAGAAATGGGAAAACAGAGAATAGAAGGGCTATTTTAAAGTTTTCACATGGTCACTTCGTTCTGCTGCTTTTATAGAAGCCCCTTCTAGTACACTGTGCCCTTCATTGGCTGTATGGACAGGGTTTATGGCTTCCTTTTTACTGTCTCATGCGTAACTAAAACTAATCTTGCATCCTTGTCCACCCACACATATGCATACTTCCAAAATATTTTTCTATCCTTATGTCTATGGAACCTTGTTCTTTCGTGTTCTGACTAAATTACGTGACAACACTGAGTTTCATTGTTACATTTCACCATTTCCTTCCCTAGCCAGTTCTAAACTTTGCAATTCTTTCTAGGGGCCACATTCTGCTTCAGAAAGCCTACTCTTCTCACAGGCTCAGACTTGCTAGATTTGGGGTGGCTTGCAGAGAAGGAACATAACCCCCCTTGGAGAGACTCAGGTAGCCATTATACATATGGTTCTGAATGTAAAGGGAAGGTGTAACTGTAAATGTAAAATCTGTAAGTTAAATCTGTACTGTTAATGTAAATTTGTATCTCTTCCTCCTATAATGCAGCAAAATTGGACTGTTTTTTTGACTAATCACTAGATTTCGGTATACTGTGCACAGGACTTATGATGTAGTACTGGGTACAACTGCTTTGTGGATAAGAAGATGGTGCTTGCCACTGTCATAGAGGATTAAGTGCAGAGTATCCTTGCCAAAGTCACCTGTCTTCTAGTGTCTCTGATAACTACCCTCGACATAATAAGAAATTAAACCTGTTTGTTGGTAGTGAGGCTGAACTCTGCCTCTCCTGATTCACAGAAGGAAAAAGCCAAGAAGTAATGACTAAAAGCATCTGACTATGCTTTTTTTGAGACCTTTCAATATGGCTGTCCTGTAGAAGTGCCTGCATCTCCCCAGGCTGCCTGACACTTCCTGAATCCTGAACTAAGCATATTGAAGTTCCCAGGAAATCCCATACTGCTTTAGCCCTATTTTACCTGTTAGGGCATCAATATGTAGCACAGTGGAGGCACAGTGTTTCTATTGGGTTCTTTTCAGAGTGATTTTACTGACCTGTGAGCATCACACGATACTGGAAGACACGGTGTACCACTTTCAGAAGCTGGTGTTTCACACTGTAAGGGCTGTCACTGGAGCTTTGCTGTCCTCAGTGGAAGAAACACAGACATCAGGGGGAATGCAAGCTCAGCAGCACATTGTCATCTTAGTTTTAATCCTAGTTATTAACTCTAACACATCCTCAAAGAGCTTGATAAATTAATAAGTGACTGAGAAACCACTCCAATATGTTTCAGCAAAATATGTACTCATGGATCTGTAGATTCACCAACACAAATTCTGTATGCACACACAGGAGTGTGTGGGCAACAGAGACAGAAACAAACACATCATGCACAAGTGAACTTCTCATTCCAGTTTTAGCACCAGGTCTGTGAAAAAAGACTATTCTTCCATTCTACCCTATGTGTGAACACTGGTGGAGTTACAGAAAAAAATAAATCCTTGAGTAATCCCCATGGCAAAGCCATGCATTAGTGCATGTAAAAAAACCACATGAGCCTCACCTCAAACTCCTGAATCATGGTAGCCAGTTGGGAATATTTAAGGCACATTTCATCTAGCAAAGCCAAATTTCTGTCAAACTGCATAATGAATGCTGAGTGGTGATGCAGCCTTGATTTTCTGGAGAGAAAAACATCAGCAACTTTCTGGTGCTCATCCCTAAGTCCACAGAAAGAAAAGAAGCAGCAAATAAATAAATAAAAGTAAAGAAGTAGAGCCATACTTCTTGCTTATTGCATTAGACCCACAGTGGCTCTATACACTGTGCACTTAAAGCCTAGGCTGAACAGCAGGAAAGGAGGAGTGCTTCAGGACAGATTGACAACACCACAGGCTGCTGTAGCATGGGCACCATGGGGGCTGGTCCTTTGGCTGTGCCTCTGCCATAGCATCACTGTGAGGCTCATTTCGGGACATGGCTCCTGCTCCTGTAAATAGACCTTCCAATTGCTGCAGTGCTTTGTGGGAGCACTATTTGTGGGGGAGAATATAGCATTTGTTGTAATATTAGATCTTCAGCTCTCCTTCACTGTTTCTCAGCACTGCCTCACTGTCACCTGTCTCAGTATTCAGGTGAACAGTGTTGAAATATTTATAAAGCATGTATAAGGAGAGAGCAGAACAAAATCTGAGTTCACAAAAGAGGAAGGAATCATACTTAAAAGAGGAATGTGAGTTCCAGAGCAACAGAGTGTCTTGAGCAGTGCAGGCACAGGGAAGGGCTTACTGGAAGCTTCAGGTGTGGTAATCACCTGGGAACCTATTTGGGTGCAGGCGTATAACATATATATATCTGTTGTGCTGGCAACATTTGCAATACAGTCCTCTTTTATCCCCAGTGCCACAGAGTAGTTCTGGACAGAACACTTAGGGTATTTATGGTTGCATTATTTTTGTCTTAGGGAACTGGCAGCATGCTGTTGGAGTAGGGTTGTGGCTTCTTTAGTACCCAAGACATTTTAGATCCCAGAAACACTGTGTCTGTTTGTGTTCTAAGTGTATAAATCATAAATCATCGGTGACACTTTTAAGTCTTTCTCTCAACAGTCCCTTGGTGGGCACAAACCAAAACACAGTTCCCTTTAGCCTCTCCTTTCCTTGTTGTATGCTTTGATTGGGAAGAGCAGGGCTGAAAGGAGACCTGCGCCCTACATTTAGGATTGTTACTGAAAAATTCTAGTAGTTTAACTGACTTCCTTAATTGCTCAGTGGCTGTACAGAAATAGGATCATCCATTCTCAGTGACCAATGCCTCCTGGAGTTTGGCAAGTTGGAGGTGTGCAGTTTCATGGTCCATCATTCAATAGAGCCTGGAAGCCTGGCTTAAATCAGGGGCCTCCTCAGCTGAATGAATTTTGCAGCATTGTCTGTTCTATTCGTGGTCTTATTCTCTCATGGAAAGACTTTCCCCTGTAAGGATGTTTGATGTAGTCCCATTAACAGGCTGCCAGAGTCCATTTGGCTTGGAAGCCTAGGGTAGCAGATCCCTGCCTTGGTGCCGGGAGCAAGGGGATGTCCCTAACTGAGACCTACACAACTGCTATGTAGATTTCTGTAAGCAGATGATCTTTAGGATCAGTTCTGATGTAAGTTTTTCCTGCTTTCCACAGCATGAGCCTGTGACCTTCAGGCCATAGGTGTGAAGCCACTTGGTGATGACTGAGAAGTGGCAGGGGATAATGCATATGAAGCTGGCTGTTCTCACACTGACTGACAGGGCCATTTCAAAGTCATCGGCTGTTCACTACACACATATTTCAGTGTTTGATTTCTTAGCCTGACGGCTTCTACATTCACTTCCTTCCTGTCTGTATGCAAAATCTGCCAAAGTGGTTCAGATTCTATTCTTTTCATTTCTGCTGGGATGGTCAAGGCAACACCAATGAGTTCACCCACCTGCTACGGGGAGGGTATGTTAAGGCCAACAAACTATGCCATTCTGTACTTGCCATTTAAGGACTCTCTCTTCCAGTTCTTCCAGGATGTCTTGGTGTAATTCATAAATTTCAGGGAGTTCACTTAAACCTTGCTTGAGTTTAACTTCCTCTTGTTCATTTTCATCATCATCTCCGAGCACTTTCAAGATACCTTCATAGAAATCCTGTGAACAACAGCATTGAAATGAGGCAAACAGACTTAAAATATCTTTTCTGAAATTATTATTACAATTTCTTGACTCCTAAACTATGCTTTCTAAGAATTAAAAGCTATGCTATCAACAGCAATAGTGTTCAGTATGACAAGGAGATCATAGAATATGCTTTCTTTCATCCATTAGTTCATACAGTGTTTCAGCTGAATTCCACAATGCTATCAACCTAAAATGGAATGTTTCACCAGATCAAGCCATAAGACCCTTATGTATACAATGCTTTGGTATCTTTTTATTTCCTTTCCCCTCTGCTTTCCTGGGTCTGGTTTGTCTCATTTTTACAGTGTTTCTTAACCCAAAACATAATTTTTAAAAATGAAGGGTGAGATTCTCACCTCATTGGATCCAACATCTTGACATGAAAAACATTAACAACTCCATGCCTTGTGCTAGAATTTGCACTAGCTATACTTCTGAACTTAAATTTTAAATTATGGAACAAATAATTTTCCCTATGAAACCTGAGTCCTTTCTTCCTCATCTAAGAAATGGTTTTCATCATGAAGTGGTTTATAAATTATGTAGGCAGAGGGGCAATTTCCTCTATATTAAAATATGGCCCACTCTAGTACATAACAGGGCACCTATTTCAGAGCACATAGCAAAATACTTTCCCAGGTTTGAGTTGCCAAGAAATGAAATTTTATTCCCTGACTTTTAGGGACAATCTTATGAACTTCCCTTGGCCATACCGGGATTTATCATGGCATTTCTCATGACACTGGCTTCTGTCTACTTTATTTTTTTTTAAGTAGATAGAGTTATTAAGGAGGAGTCTAAAAAGAACAGACTTCCATAAAACTTGCGAATGTCCAAGTATGAGCAACACATCAGAGTATGCTTCACTGTGAATCTATATTTTATGTTGAATTGTCCACTTTGGACTGATTAAATCAAGGTTGCTGTACTAATTTCGGCATGGTGAGATGTGGTTGGTATGACTGTGATCCTGCTGAAAGGTTCTGCTCTTACACAACAGGAAAGAGTCTAGTCAAAGAGCTTCAAAGTTCCTCTCTCATGGATAGGAACTGACTCCAGGCAAGATCAGGTTTATTTTCCTTGGATTAATTCCTGGTTTTTCTGTTGTTACTGTCAACTGCAATGTCCACACTGGCTCTCTGTGAACTGGTATGACTGGATTATCTAATTGATGATAGCCAAGAGTCACACATGGACAATGTTGGGGTTTTTTAGCAACGGTAACAGCTAAAACATTTGTTTTCTGAAAAGCCACTAGAACTAGGTAAAAAAAAAAGATCATGATGACAGTTTTCTTTTTTATTAACTATATCCTGGATGAAAAAATATCATAAAGATTTCGGAAAAAGTATTACTATGTTTCCTAATTATCTGGGTCTAATTTCTGCAACATGTCCTGCCCCTGTACCATAAATAATCCCAATGTTGTGCTATTAAATTTCCAATTTTTTTTGACGTGAGTTATCCTATCTAAGTTCACGTTTCAGCCAGTGTTCAATTCAGAAGTTTTTCAAGCAACTAAACCAATCAATCTCTCTTCTGGATGCTTTTACTAACTCAAAGGAATCTGCAACCTTTCAAAGTCCTCAGTCATCATAATTAATCCAGATCAGGGAAAGGGAAAGAATCTAAAGGGTTCTCTCAGCTTATTGTGCCTAGACAAGTGAATAGCTTGCAGTTCACTAGTGATGTGCTTAAGTAATCTATTACATTACAAAGATGTCATCTTTTCCAAATTAACATCAAACAGCTCTGTATCTGTCCACTTTCCATTACAACAAGCAACAGGATTAACACTCCTTTCCCACAGCATCTCACTAGATTTAATTAGTTATTAATTGTCTGTCCCCTTGATTATAATGAATTCTCAGACAAATAATTAAATTCCAGTTGCCTGGATAGCCAGCCTTCTAGTGATTAACAAAAACCCTGCAGCATAACAGTAATCACTATAAACATCCATTAAAAATAATTATGTCACTGTTGAAAATCCTGAGTGTCTGTGAGGCCATTATTCAAATGCAAAGTGCTTTTCCAATCTCACTAACTGTAATCAGTCATGGCACCTGAAGGTCTCCAAGTCTCTCACAAAAGCCCAATGTCTAAGTACAGGAGGTACTAAACACTGAGTCTATATAATTCCCTGATGGATCAAAACTTTCTTAAAACAGCTTCATGAACAGAAGTTGTTTGGTTCAGGGCTCTGGTGTGATAGCTACAAAGCTCAATCTCATCCAGGGTTGGATGAGCCTACAGATCTCACACAGTCTTATGCCTGTACTTGCATGTGCATGGAAAGCATAACCCAAGCTGCCTAGGTGACACAGAAGGTTAGCAACCCAGCTATGAAAAATACATTTCTGAAATATAAACCTTTTTATTACATTTTGGGGATCCATAAGTAAGCCCTTTATAGCCATCAAATGGCCATATCCTTAACATTCCTGATATAAACCCTACAAATAATGAAGTGAAACAAAGAGGATCAAACCCCATAGCCACAAAGGTTGTTGGCTTGGGTTTTTTTCCTTTTGTTTGTGAACATCACTAATACACACAAGTTATGTCTCTTCCCTCCAGAAATGCCTCTGAAGAATTCTGTTCTCTGCTGTAAATGGGGACTGTTGTCTGGAGTTTGTTATGAGAGTATGAGACCAGGAGGAATGCAGGGTTTCAACAATATCTTATGGTTTATCTGCCTAACTGACACAAGATTGGCTCTTGGAAGAGAATCTGAAGCCCTCTTTGAGGTGATGAGCCTCCCCACAGGATGCTGGGATATGAGATGCTTTACTGATGCTGGGAGTGCTGGCTGACACTAACAGGAAACAGTTAGGGTGTGAAGTTTTGGGAAAAAAAAAAAAAAAAAAAAAAAAAAGTGGCTCTAGGCTACAGAAAAGTAGCCCAATTTACCTAGGATCAGCAACCTTGATACTTTTGTAGCAGGTAGTTATTTCTAGATACTCTTTCAAAGAAGTCAGCAATGCCAGCAACCAGAGGTTTTTGGTAGAGCACTTATCAAGAAAGTTCTGTACAGGTTCATCATCTATATGAAATGTGATATTCTAATAAAAGGGCAAGAGGTGTAGTTAATTGGACAAGAGTTAATCCTGGGTTTAGCTTCCAGGATTCTGTGAACAGATGCAGAAACAGTGAGTTTATGTATCATTTCTCTCCAACAATAGGGGTGAATATGTGAGTCCACCTGCAAATTTCAACTGTAGCAATCCTGTATACATGTTAGCCTTTATTAGCTAAATGAGTGAAATGAGAACATTTAACCTTGCAGGACCCTGGTGAAAGGAAGGAAAACCTCTTGTCAGACTTACGACTTTTCAGGCAGGTAGGTTACCCTGGAGAAAAAAATTGCCTCTCTGTACATATATACATACATACATGTAAGTATATGCTATGCTGGGTGACTCCTTTTCTTCAACTTCTACTTCAAAAAAACTTGGAGTGCAGTAATTCATTCTGGATTCAGAATGTCTATTTCTTTTTTTCTGTATATAACAGAACAGGCCAAATTAGATCAGTTCATCCAATAGAGATGAATGAATCCCTGGGAACTGGGGACTACTACAACCAGTCTAGTAGAGGCAGTCAGAAAATGATAGGCCTGAAGTTATTTTCTACCTTTACTGTAAAAAGCTAATGGTTCTGCCATCTGCAGTGGGTTGAAAGCAACTATGAATATTAGAAAGCTGAGTACACTAAAGAAGGGAAAGTTGGGATTTTGACTTACAGGTGTAGCTAAACAGACAGTCCTATTTGAAAGAAGACCTTTTAGAATTGTCCAAGAAATGCTGATCAGTTGCTAGATTTACTTGGGTTTCTTATTTTTCATCTTCTAAAGCACTAGCATAGACAATTCTAATCTAGTCATAATGAAAATCCTAGTCCTTGCATATTGACCACAATGGCAGCAGAACAGAATGGAGAAGGGAGTACACAACCATTAATATTGTCTTTGCCAATAGTAATTTTTAGTCCTATGGTTTGACCAGCAGTTCCTCTGCAGGTGGGGATTGAGGTTCCTTGTCACTGGCTCACAGCATTGTGTTTCTAGCATCAGGCCTGCATTTGAGCTAGAAACTGTGACGTTCTAGTAGAAAATGATGATTATAGAGCAAAGCCACTCTTTAATAGGCCAAGAGAAAGATCTGAAACAAATAGCATTTCTGTGAACAAAAAGTGCACATTGTACTAGAAGGAACAGATTGCTAGACTGTGGTTGAATTAGAAAAACTCTGAATGCCTGCAGTCTAAGGATTATGGGTGACCTTGATTCCAGGTCTTGAAAACAGTGTCGATTTGCTCTTTATTACATAGTCTCATTGGGAGGAACAAAGACCGTACAAAGCAGAATAGAGCTGAACTGCTTCCCGAATTTTGAATTAGCTACACATTGTTGTTAACAAGGTAAAGAAATCCTAATTCAAAAGGATGCAATGCAATGCTTTGAAGACGTTAATCATCTGCTGTCCTTGCCAGAGAAAAACTATGTAAATTTACATGAAGCAGAGGTCTGACCTCTACTGCTGTCATGGCTGAATCAGCTTTTCTGCATATATCTCTAGTCTGCATTAAAGAAAAGGGAATGGTCTGATGGGTGAATAAATTCCCCTGGGATATTTCTACAATTTTTAAAATAGATGTGTGAGTTTCCATTAGGGAATAACACTGAAAAAAAAAAAAAAAGGAGCAAGTGTACAGAGCAGATGCATTAGTGGAAAACTGCCGCTATTTTTCTGCCTTTGTCTTCATATGGGGATACCAGCACTTCAGCTACAGATATAATGTCTACGCACAGCGTGTTTTTACCTTCTTCACACCACAACACCCACCTGGCATCCAGACTTTTATGCTTTTCAGCAAAATACACACATACATCAACATACATGCATACAAAGTAATTTTACATGTATAGCTAGAATTGCAATTGCTTCCCTAGTCAAGCTGGTGTTTTA